GATTCATCCAGTCTTACATGTTGGAGCCAGAGTCTGACCCAGAACCAGAGGAGAATGAAGACCACCAAACTGTAGTTGGTAGGTCCAGACCTTACATGGCGTTTTTGTTGCAAAGACCGTCCATCATTAAACAGAGGTGGGGGCCTCCGTTTTCAGTTGTCCCCCTCCTACAGCGCTGCCATTGGCAGTATCACTCCACCCCCTGTTAACAATAGGTAGGTGAACGATTAGGTGTGAACGATAGCCATGTGATGTGAGTATCAGTCACATGGAGGCTGGGCTTTAAAGCCTGAATTTTGCCTGAAACTCTCAGACTGAAGAAGTCTCTTGGAAGAGAGACAAAACGTTTCATTAGAGAAGAACCCGTCCAGAGGACCTATACAATTTTTTTCCTTTTGATTTTTTGCCTGGATTACTGAGATGCATCAGGACATAGTGAAAAGAGTCCCCCGTTGAGAGAAAAATAATATATAACTTGACACAAACCATCGCTGATGTCCCCTGTTGCCATTCAGGAGTGACCGACTGTTTGCAGTTTTGTTGGAATCATCACAGACCTTCATTATTTAAATCATCTTATAAGGTGAACAGACAGATGGACAAATGGGGGGCTAAAGTGATCTTGGCAAACTACTACAGAAACGTGTTGAGTAGGTCTCCCTGATGATGCACACAAAATTTGGTGCAGATTGATTCATGAATGTGTGATTAAGAACCAACCGTGTGCAAACGGCAAGGCATTAGTATTCATCACTCCGCCACACCCACACCATCCCGCCACCAGTCAGTAATGAGGGAAGCATGAAGCGTGTGAAGTCTGCATGTTTAAAGCTGTAGTAGGAGTTAGCACGTGCAATGTCGCTGCTYGATCCGTCCCAGAAGCACAATCCGTACTGTCAGCTCATTTGCGCATGCGCTGAAAGAAATACAGCTCATTTGTGCATGTGCTAAAAGATAGACTTCTGGAATGTGCTTGATTTAGGAAAAAAATACTAAAAATAATTATTTTCTATACTTAATTATAAAAGTGTGTTCAATTGTATTCTGAAAACAGTTTTAAATTGTATACATTTTGATTAATAAAATATAAATAAATGTCATTGTGACTTGTATGGGGCACTGTGGAGGAATTAGGCCATACCCCACAATAATAATAATAATTGGGCCCTAATAATAACATTGACAATATCCATCCATCTATTACCTTTACCCACTTCATCCTTTGAGGGTCACTGGAGTCACCAGTGCCAGTAGTCACTGTGCGAGGGGCAGGGCCCATCAYAGAGCCACACATTTAGAGTAACTAATTAACCTAAAAGTCATGCTTTTGCACAGAGAGAACATGCAAACTCCACCCTGAAAAGTCCCAGGGCTGGGATTCGATCCAGTGATCTTCTTGCTGAGAGGCATCAGCTCTACCGAGCCACCCTTATAATAATAATAATAATAATAATAATAATAATAATAATAATAATAATAATAATAATAATAATAATAATAATAATAATAATAATAATAATAATAATAATAATAATCAGGTCAAAAATAATAAGGTCTTCTGCTGTTTCACAGTGCTTGGGCCTTAATAAAACACAATAAAAATCACAGATCCTTATAGCAATAAGTTTCAGCAGGTGAAATGGTAGAGATTTTTCATTTTAACAACTGTTGCCAGTTCTCTTCACCAGTTTAAGCTTTATGGGAAAGTGGCAAATCAAACGCCACTATAAAAACTCATATGAAATCTAGGCTAGGATGCCAAGAAACACTTGACAATGGAGTCTTCCGTATGTCATTTGGTAAACTCTAGTTGAGAGTCAGTTGAATTATGACAGCAATAAAAGCATGAAACATCTAAGTGGGTGAGTGGGTTTCTAAGCAACAAGTGCTGCCTGTTTTTTTTGTTTTCATAGTGTGTGCACCAAATAGGAAAAGATGTATTAACCACACACTGCGGAAGAAGGCATTAATTACATCTTTTTTCTTTTTTTTAAATACATGATTTCCACCAGTGCGGTTTTAAGATAAAATTTGCAGAATAACAGGAAACTCCTGTGGCATGCTTTTTCAAGAATATAAAAAAAGAGACAAGAAACGAGCTGAGTATCAAAACTCTCATGTAGATTTTAAGCACATAATTTTGTTCTAGGTTGTGAGTAAAATTCACAAAGTGTGACAATAAAGCAAATGCAAGCTAAAAGCTTAAGGATTTCTTTTCTTTAAGTTCAAAGGGCAAAAATGTTGAACATTTTTTTTGTGTGTGTTTGCAGGAATTTTGTATTTTTTGGGGGAAATTACTATTATGACTTTGTTGGACTCTACAAAAACTGTAGCTTTTTTTTTTCACTTACGTCTCCCAAATTTTCCCAAAAGATTCTTGTTCTGTGCTGACCAACTACTGAGATCATTCACCGTAAACTGATGCAAGCAATATTTTTATCACAAACTTTTGCATATTCATTACTATTACACCATGGATCAGTGTGTACTGGCTCCAGTTGCACCATAGGTTATCTTGTAATGATGATGATCTTGCAATAATCACACACATCCTGTTTTTTTTTATTTTATTTTTAAGCAAACCTCAAAATGGTTTGAACCATTGCACTGAAGAATAAGGATAGAGCGCTCTCATCTGGTGAGTCAAAGGTACTGCCACTTTTTTTCAACAAATTTGCAATGCAAGAAATAAAGGCAGTATAAGGTATGGAATAGTGTACAGTACATAAACACTTATGCTGAACCAAAAGTAAGTCACAGATGGCAGCAGTGTCCTTGGGCCTAAATGCTGTGAAGCAACAGGAGGCCCATATGTTTTTGTGCCAGTTTATTTTTCTCCCGACGGGAGGCTTTTTTCACTATGTTTTAGTGGACTGAAATTTATGAAACATGCAGTTATTAGAAATAGCATAAAATGGGGAGGCACAAAAATCCACATGTGGGCGTGGCAAATTGGCTCAGAGGTTCTCAAAATGGGGTCCCAGGACCCCCAGGGGTCTGAAAGAGGTATATCGGGGGTCGTCAAAAAATTTCAATAAATTGTTAATTTGGTTTTTGTTTTTAAAAATGCATGAAGAACAATGAACAAACATAAAAACTTAATAAAAATTTATATTCCCATGGCATTTGGGGGTTGAAATGACAATAAATTATCTTTTAAAAAATGGACTTCACTTATATAGCGCCTTTCTATCCATCCAGGACACTCAAAGTGCTTCACACTAACAGACATTCACCCATTCACACACTGATGATGGCAAACTACAATTGTAGCCACAGCTGCCCTGGGGCGCACTGATAAGGCGAGGCTGCCATACACAGGCGCCACCGGACCCTCTGACCACCATCAGTGGGCAAGGTGGGTAAGGTGTCTTGCCCAAGGACACAACGACTGAGACGGCTGGACGGGGATCGAACCGGCGACCTTCCGGTTCCAGGACGACTCCCCTAACCACTCTACCCCTTTTAAAACAGCATGGAGTTTATGAGGGGGTCCCTGGAAGTTTTTCGCCCTTGTAAGGGGTCCCCAGGCCCAAATGGCATGAGAACCCCAGCGAGTGCATTGGTTCCCAAACTTTTTAGCTCCTGACCCACAAAATAACAGCAGCAGAAACTATTTTTGGGTGAAAAACACTGGTATCAGGTCAAATAAATATGGGCACATAGTAACAATATTCATTATGCTACTTTCATCCATTTAAAGTAACTTCAAGTAGATTTTATAACATTTGTCAGTACTCACTTTAAATGTAATTTATTTTGAAAAGCTTTTCAAGACTCCACCTTGATGTTTTGGGACCCACAGAACGATACGTTTTGACAGCATTTGTGTAAAAGCATATCCATATATTCATTAAAATAGCTGGGATTTCAACAAAAATTAATCTGTTTTTGGTGAATTGTTTTAAAAATAAGGATGTTGTGCATGTTCCTTTTCCTGTTGGTGCATATGGTCAAAAACTGTATGTACATATTTTTGTTATGTGGTTTCTAATCTTTCAGAGTTAGTAGATGATATTTAGGTATCTTTTAGTGTCTTTGCTACCTTTACATGTCTTGCCAAACCAATCATTTGCACAATAACGGCACAGTCCTTCAGCTTTCATTCTAAGTGGTTTAATCTTTCCATGTTACGCAATTTATACAGAATGCAAACTTTTATTGGTTTACTCTTCCAAACACTCAGGAAATGTTAAAGGTTAGGTTTAAACCAGGGACTTGCTTGAAATAGAGAATGTGCACCTGCCTATGTTTGTAAGGCCTCACACACACACACCAAAGCCCTGCTGCAAGACGAGGAACACAGCAGGGATGAGGCCCATTGAGGGGGAGCAGGAAAGGTGGGTGAGGATGTGGTGATCTTTATGTATACGCACTCCTACACAGTAGTCAGATGTGGGTTTAGAAAAAGAAATGGGACATGTTCTCATTTTCTCATTCTGACTTTCTGAAAGTTCCTGCATTATGATATTTGTAGTATTAGAATGCAGTAGAGTAAAACATTAAAACTTGATGATATAATGGCTTTCACTTGTACATGCTATTTGTCCACGTTAGTTTCTGTTTAATGAAACTGAACAAATTATWGCTAAAGTTTAAATAATTTTTGGATAATTGATGTAAGTAAGAACACTTATTTCACCTAGCACCATGAAGAAACCGTGCATACACAAAGTTATTGCTGTCATTATAGTTTGACATTAATATTACTACAAATTACCCATGTTGTTATTAACAGAAAAACATCTTACAAAAGTAATATTAGCATTTATGAAGTTTAAACAATTCCTAATTTTAGAAGTCAGTTTTGTTCCAACGATCATATTGAATGAAAGGTAATATGTCACAGAAATGAAACAATGTACAGAATTGACGTCTTGCATTAAAGATTCATGAGTCATTTCCATCAATAGCCTTAACATACAAGCAAATAAATCAGCATTTTTTGAGGTCAACAAGTTAAACTAGGTCTTCTGCGTTGCAGTGAGCTGTGGTTTCAGTCAGGTGTTGCTGCTGCTATTCTCAGCTGCCACTTTGGAGGAGGCGCCGGATGTGTAGAGATAGTCCTTAAACAGGCTCATCACCCGCCTCTTGTATGTCTTTATGGCAAAGAAGTAGATGACTGGATCCAGGCAGCAGTTGAAATTCATTAACGAGACCGTGACCTGGACAGTGGATTATGAGTGAATTGTTAAGTGGCACTCACATGAGGAATGCATGAGTTCAACTAAAATTACCTCTCTTACCTGCAAGGACATCTTAAAAACTCTCAGTTCGTCACAGGTTGGCTGGTGGAATATTTTTCTGAACATGAACTGCATTATGTTGAGGTGGTAGGGGCTGAAGCAGATGATGAAGGTGAGAAGGATGAGGAGAATGATTGTGTTAGCTCTGTGGTTTCGACTAGTCCGGCTTGTCATGGAGTTCCTCTTGGCAGTGTCTCGCAGTTTCAGGTTGATCTTGGCATAGCAGCCCACGATGACGGTCAGCGGACAGCAGAACGAGATGGTGCAGGCCAGAATCAGGAGGTAAGGGGTGAAGTGGGATCCCTCAAAGTTAAAGTACTCCATGCAGGTGCGTTTGCCCTCGTGCAAGTGAAGCATACTGCGGAACAACAGAGGAGCTGTCTCCAAAAACACCAGAGCCCAGACCAGGCAGCAGAYCCTGCGGACAAATTGGACACTGCGCAGACACTGCAGCCGGTGTGGATGCAGCATGGCCAGGTATCTGTCCAAGCTGATGCAGGTCATGAAGCCGATACCTGTTGGAAATACAGTAAATGTTCAACACATTTTATATTAAACACAAACCAAGCATCCTTACATTGCTTTTTATATTCCCATTGTTCCAATGTGAAGAGTGTGTCAAGCTTTCGTTTTTCATATTAAATGTTCAGAAAATATCAATAAAATATTATCCCAATATAAACGTGTGATTCATTTACGTTATTTAAAAGTTTTGGACATAAATTAGTGACAAGTGCTCTAACTACCTGCATAAGTGTTTGCAAAGAAGAGAAGTGTGGTCAGTCTRCAGAGAAGGTCACCAAAGGGCCAGTCAAAGTGACGGATGTAGTAGGTAATTCTGCCTGGCAGCGCCAGCGTGAACAGGGCATCAGACAGCGCAAGGTTGACCAAATAAATCGAGGTGGAGTTGAACTTTTGCTTCCTCTGGCAGATGACACAGAGAACCAAGCTGTTGCCGCATACACTGATGAGGAAAACCACCGAGTAGAAAATGGGGAAGAGGACCACTGCAGCTCGTTGGTAGACAAACACATCGCAGCTGCTCTGGTTTGGAGAGGTTTCTGTGTCCATGGTGGAATTTACTGCAGCCATGCCCATCTGACATTTTTTTTTCAGAAAAGAAAAACATTATAAATATCCCTCAATTTCCTAATATTCCATATTTCAAAATATGAATAACTTAAACTACTTACAAAGATGAGAGGATCCAAGATAATTTACTGGTGGTGCTGCTGAGGTTGCTGCTGGGTGAGCTTTTACAGGAGATGTGATGCTTGGATTGGTTTTTTTAAAGGTTGCAGAGTTAAACTCCCACCTCTTCTTCATGTCATCATGTCTGCCAACAMCATCCACAGAGGTTTGATGTTTCACTGGTTCAAGGAAGCATAGTTTCTTTAGAGGAGTTCAAGTTGCACTAGAATAAACTTTATGTGCAGCAACAGTATAAATTCCCTTTTTCATTGCTTCAGAATTTATTATTTTGTCTTCTTGCACCCACTGTGTCACAACCTTTTTTGTTTTGGGATGTTTCATTTTGGAGTTGTCTTTGTGTTTAGTTTGTTTTCTGTGCCTCATTGTGTTTAACATCAATTCCTAATACTCTTCCTYGTCAGCTTATGCTCCTCATGCCCTGCCCACTTACACCTGTTCCCTGTTATCCTTAAACCAGCTGTTTTGACTGGTATCATCATCCCCTATTTATTTAGTCTCTCTATCCTCTCTCATCTTCACGCTTCGAATTGCCTCTGTGTTTTTTACTTACATTGCTATTCTACTGCCACACCAGACTTTGTGTACTAAATAATAATAATAATAATAATAATAATAATAATAATAATAATAATAATAATAATAATAATAATAATAATAAATCATCTTTTTTCAGTTCTTGTGGAAGTCAGCATCCTTGTGCCCAAACTTAACTTCAAATTGTGACAAAGTGTCTCGTCACCCAGAGCGCAAATTTGGTGCATTCAAACTGTCATTTACTTCCACTGCATCTAAACTCTATTTTTTTCCAATACTTGAAATAAAGGGTCATTTTAACTTACGTCTTATTCATGAAATATTAAGAACATGTGTGGTTACCAACCACTAACAGCTCATTCTTTCAGTACAACTTATAGTTAGCAGAGTTTTTTTTTATTTCTTTATGGTTTCTATGGTTTATCCATGTTTCTGTAAAAGTGTATGTAGGCTGCCATGAATGACCGCTAGTCCTGCCTCCCAGTTCCGTATTTCCAGTGTGTAAAATGAGAACCAGAGATTAATTCATTCAGAGAGTTATGATAAGAACAAAACTACTTCGTTTTTACTTTGACTGGCKGCTTGAGCAGTTCAGTCACGAGTTGAGTTCAACTTGTTGTTTTTTTTTGTTGGCTGCCAAAACAATTAGAGAAAACAGAGAAATGATTTAGAAACATTTTGCCTAGAATAAGAAGTAGCAAAGGCACGTCCATCATGCCCATCGTCCTACGCAGTGGCGGATCAAGGATTTGTCTAAGTAAGGGGCCACCAAGGGGCCACTGTATTCATAGAAGGGCCAAGTGTTTGTTCAACATCCTTTCACACAAACCTCCAGTTTTGGTAACATGTTCACATGTAAGCAGTCATGTTCAAACACCTGTAATGAGATTTTTACATACATTTTCACTTTACATAGATAAAATACTCTCAAACATACAGCTTCGTTTATCAGCTGATAGATTTTTTTCTGCAGAATTGTTCAGATTGATTCATGCTGGACTTTCCTATTTGACTCATTAATGCCTCTRGTGTTTGGACATGGAACTGCATCCATCGTCATYGCTCCCAGGTAAAGGACAGATGAGTGAAAAGACAGGGGCACTTCAGGGGGCCAATCAGATTTCATCTGTGGCCAGTGTCCCTGTGCTCCTKCCCCTAGAACCACCTCTGGACTTATGCACTGCACTTTATGCTGACGAAGGAGGATCGTAAACTAACGGCAGCTTTAAATCTCAAAAACCCACAGAAGAGAGTTTGTTTGCTCTTTTGATTTTATCTGCAAAAGTCCCATAAATACAATATACACCCCCAATCCAAAGCTCTGGACTAAGACTGGCCATCAAGCGTGGCTTGTCCGGACCACTGTGAGCCATACAGCTTCCAACAATATCAACTGAAATCCTGAATCCATGCCTGGTGAGTGAAATTGTAACGGTCTTCATTTTCAGCTGGTTGTTGGCTGGAATCCTGTTTGGGTTTCTTGTGTGCTTTCAGAAAAGCCCAGTCAGGATAACCGCACTGCTCCAGGGCCTGTTTTGTGTGTGACTTCTCTTTCTCCCTGGCTCCTGGGTTTGTGGGGACACTGTCTGCTCTGTGGTGCAGAGTTCTGATGACTCCTAACTTGTGTTCCAGTGGRTGATGGGAATCAAAACGCAAAAAGTGGACTGCATGGGTGGGTTTGTGATACACGTCAGTTTCCAACCGTCCTCCATCTGAAACTGAGACCTCACAGTCCAGGAACGCCAACCTGCCGTCTTTTACATCCTCTTGTGTGAACTTTATATATTTATCCACAGAGTTGATGTGATCAGTGAAATGTTGGACTTCCTGGGATTTAATTTTAATTTTTGTACTTGTTTATCTCGATCAGGGGTGTCAAACTCATTTTCACCGAGGGTCACAGAAGCATTATGTTTTAGTTAACTTTGACGTTTCATGTTTAACTTTGACTAAACAGTGTTTTTAACATGTCCTCTTTTAAACACTGAAAAAAACTAAGAGTACGACTGACTAAATCTGAAATAAATAATGCCGAAATAATATTAAAAGTAAAACTAATAAAGTTTTAATCACTGATTAGTTTCTAGGGAGTAGCTGCCATCTTGAATTCTGAACTCAATCACTTTCTGACAGGGAATTTCCATAGATGATCTACATGCGTTATGGAAGATCTAGTTTATGGTTGATGTTGACTTTAAAGCAGCTTATTTAGAGACATTAACACTGTGCTATCCAACTAAATTGCTCAGTTACTTAAAGCCACCAGCTTAAGGGCAGTACAATTTGTTAATTTTGTTGCATAAAATTTAAAGTTTACCATTGATATAAGAAACAATTTTAAAAAGTTTAAAAAATATAATTTGGGGGGAGGGGGGGAGTACCCCCACCTCCAGCCAGACCTGAGGGCTTTGAGTTTGACACATGTGAGCTAGATGGATCAGCAACGGTTATTCATGGTCTTACTGTAGGCCAAGTAGTTTGTTTCTTCAAAGGTTGATAGACTGAGACAATATCTTGGCAAAGCAAGATGATTTTTTTTGCACAGCACTGAAACCTTCTCCTGATTCATACTTAACGTTGACGACTTCCATCCATCCATCCATCCATCCATTATCTATCCCCGCTTCTTCCTTTCAGGGTCACAGGGGTCACTGGCGCCCATACCCATCAGAAGGTCGAGGGGCGGGGTACACGCTGGAAAGGTTGCAAGTCCACCACAGGGCTGTTGACGACTTATTGTATGAAAATGATCACTGATGATGATTTTAACTTTGAAAATGCTATATGTTTTGATTGTTATGACAATGTCTTGACAAATACTTTTTGAATTCCTCATACGTTTTTTTTTTTCAAACAGCAATGTAACAAAAAGTAAGTTTTAAAACAATATGTAACACAATTACCTTCATGACTTGGCATGGATACACAGTAAAATAAAACACCAGCCTTGGTGTTAATTCAGTGGGTGTAGCACAGAAAGGTTAGATGAAGTGATAGAGTGAGGTTTTATATAAAGTTCCTGTCATTGAGGTTTCTCAAGCTTGTACTTCGTGAAACTGGTGCGAACACAGGCAGCTCCATAGTGGGGCTGTGGAAGATATAAGAGGAAGTTCAAGTGTTGCTAGAGCTTAAAAAAAACTGTCACAATCCTATGATGTGTGGATGAGTCACTTRCACACACAAACGTAAAAATGCCACATTAGATATCTCAACCACCAACGAACATCTCCAAATCTGTAAATTCTCCAAAGTGAGAAAACTTCTACCATAGTTTCTGCTTCAGAGAATAGCTGCTTCTGACTCAAAATTGTTAAATTGTTCAGCTGTCACATCAAATGTAAAATCTCCAAATGAGTCTAATATACAAAGTATACGTGTTCTGTTTTAAARTTTATTGTCTGGGTTTGGTGTTTTCTTTCTTACCCGTTGGCAGGCTAGAGTCCTGTTTGGGTTTCTTATCAGCTTTCAGGAARACCCAGTTAGCAGACCAACAGAGGACCTGACTCTACCTAAAACTTTTCAACCTGAGATGCATCAGGATATAATTGTTTTTAATTRTTTTCTCTGATAAAAGTTTAGTGGCACTAAAAATATTTGATCTTGGCTGCAATCATCATACAACAACATGTATTAGTTAAAAATATGTTTTTAATAAGAATACAAACATTGATAAAACAAAATTATAAATGTCTTTATAAGTTGCCCCATGGAAAACAAAAGTGATCATGCTTAATTTCCTTTATTCTAAGCATCCAGTTTTCATAAAGCACACAGTACTACAGTACTTCTCATAGTGTTTGCCCACTGGAGATTCTCACAAAGGTTTAATTGAAATGGATGGCTGCTGGATCAGTGAAAGGTCACTAATTGTCATCAGTCAAATGTGGTTATGATACAATTCACTTAGGTCACATAAAAGCTCCATGTAGACAGTGTCCCCCACAGGTTAGAAGCCTGCTGCACTTATAAAGACTACATTTCATGCTCCATTAGTTCTGTGCCCAGAGTTAAACATCTCATACCAACTGAAAAGGTGTCRAAAAAGACAGCCGTCTGTTGCTCCCTTTAGGTGTTCCAAAGGTCTCGGTATTAAATGCTGCAGGAGCCCAGGAAGACATGGAAAAACTAAGAKGTTCATTCTTTTTTAGATTTAAATAAAGATTTTATGTGCTAAAAGTCACATCATTGACTTTCACCATTGTACTGAAACTAAATTCATACCATAATTATATGTTTTTTCCCGTGCTCACAAATAATAATATGTGCAAAGATGCTTGATTCAAATCAGTCCAACTTATTGTTTTTCTTTATCTGAAGAGTTTAGTGTGTGTTTTGCTGAAGCTTCCTTGGGAGTGGTAGAATATGGTAAAACGTTTGCAGTTTTCTGTGTTGACGGATGTGTCCGTCAAAGGTCTTACCCCCAATTTACACTGTGACTGCTCTGYCACACTCTGCTCCAA